TCTATCGGCAAAGTTGGGTTCTACCAGAACGCCAACACCGGCCTGAGCGCGAGTCGTGATATCGACGCCTCAGTAAAATTGCGTCCATCCATCGAGTATCAGGAGTCCAGAGCCTGGACGTTTTGTTGACGAGAGTCCTACAATGTCGAGTTTGTACTTTATGGCCTCATCAACTAATTCTTGTTCTTTTCCTCTGAAGGAGGATATGTTCCAATTTCTGACTTTAAGCTCCCACTGGTGGTGTCGTTCTCGTGGAGCCTTTTCTTACGTGCTATAATGGCATCGCGCTGTCTGCCTCCTCCGTTTAGAACGAGTACAGACTCCGCTGATGACTGGTATCTTCGTCGTCGTTCCGTCGGTCTTCGTTAGCCGTTATTGTGCTGCTCCATTCCCGGCTGGCAGAGGGCGAAGACCTGGCCCTGATCGCCGGCTTTTCGCAGTCTGCCTCAGTCTGCCAACAGGGTAAGCGGCGCTTCGTATCTCGGGCGACGACTGTGCCGGTATAATTTTCGATGGCTTCAGTACGATGAGTGGCAGGTAGCTAAACTTTACGGAGACTCTGCCACGGTCTCCAACTCTCCTCCTTTTTGCAACGGGCATGGAACCAACAACTGCGGAGTTTTCGCAGATGAGTCTGGAAATGAAATATGTTTGTTCGTTTTCGAGTATGTTTGTTCGACCAAACAAGTGGTGCTGCTTTAACTCTATGCAATACATACTCAAAAATGCAGCCGTGTATAGCCGTGGCCGTGTAGCCGTAGTTTTGTAGCCGTGGCTTCCTTATTCCATGTCCTTTTTCGCCAGAAGTATGCGCGTTGCGATAGAACATGTAAATACAAAGTAAATACAAAGAAACGACAGGAAGGTATCAACAGGACGATGTTAACAACCTGTATCGACAAGCGAGCAATTAAGTGGCAAGAACCAACCGAAAACGATTTACAGAAGGTGCTCAAAAACTGCACCATTGTCTTCTTAATCTGGAGAAACCGCGGATGCACACAAATGTTCCATCAGATATGGTCTTCACCATCCATAACCGTTTTACATTGTGGATAGCAGAGGCATACCCGAAAGACAATGACACCAAGGTTCCTGATCTTGTGCATGAGACTGACCTTCGGCAGAAGGCAACTGGACTCTAGAGCAAGCTCCTTCCATACATTTGCACCCGGTTAGGCTTCCCCTAGGAGTGTTGTCGGTAGGCTGGGCAATAAATAGCTGTTTCGCCTTCCTTTCCAGAGACATTCGCATCACGTACACAAACATTCGCAGCTGTGACTTCTCGATCTGACAAAGCAGTGACTTTATATGAAGGTTCTCGCAAATCTCTAAATTAGGGACTAGTCTGCAACGACTAATTTCATAAAGACGCATTTTAGCCACTATGCACCGGGATGGATTATCATGGTCCATGATTAATAACCGTAGGTAAGGATGGGAATGAAGATCGAATTGAACGCAGACAGCTTAGTCATCAGACTCTGCTCTCCATTAATCACAACGGCTCGGGCTAATTGACACAAACCTCACTAGATACTCCAATCCACCGGTCAATCTCTTAAATTTTCCATCACACAATAAATACGACTCCGAGATACTTGAATTTATCCAGCTCTTCCACTGCCTCTCCGCTGATCTGTTAAAAACGGTCGCAACGGGCAGAAGAACGAGAAAGCACTAGGGTTTTCGTTTTAGATGCGCTCACACGCATGCCGGTCAAGTTGCACACGGCGGCGTACCTTTCTATGGAGCACTGTGGATCAGTTTCAGAAGACGCCCCCTATAAAACAAGGTCGTCTGCAAACAGCAACCTTCTCGTCGCTATATCTCATACACCGACGAAATGATCGCCTGGGCTGCTTCTCAGTATTCTATCCATGTACAAAACAATCAGGAAGGGACAGGGCGAAGCCTTGGCGGATACAAGTGCAAATGTTTAAAGGTTTCGACTTAACGCCATTTACTCTGAAGCAGCGACTGCTGTCAGAATACAGTTACTGAATGGCCCGTAGCAGCGGGATATCGATCCCATATTTTCACAGAAACATGACCACAGACTGTTGCGCGGGATCTGGTCATAGGATTTTTCTGGTTAGGAAAACACATGTACACCGAATGGGCAAACTCCCACAACTCTCAACATTCTGGTGCAGAACAAATATATGGTCAGAGGTGCCTGGGCCGGGCCGGAAGTCATACTGCTCTTCTTTTATCATATAATCAGCTTCCTTTCTAGCACCCTTGCGCATACTTTCCCCAGGAGCTCAGCAAGATATTGGTTCGATACCTAGAGCACTACCAGTGGCCTACTTTCTTGAACAGGGTACAAACCTCCAACGTTTTTAAGTATACTGTTGTCTTCCCGTAGCCACTGCAGTTTTACAGATACGTGTAAGCCTGTAAATGCCTTGTTCGACTAACTCTTTGAGCGTTTCATGGAGGACTTCATCAATTCTAGTTGTCACTCCACTTTTCAAGCCCTTCACAGCTTGCATGATTTCATTTAAACAAGTAGTAGTGTTCCCTGCTGCTCTAAAGCCGAAAGTTCCTGCGGTTGATCAGGGTTACGCAGTTCTTCAAAGTGTTCTCTCCATCGCTGAAGAATGTCCGCATCCTCGGTAAGAGGGTGTCCCGACCTGTCCTTCAAGACTCACACTATCCAACTTTTCACCTCGGAGCCGGAGGACGGTCTGTCGGAATACCTTGTTAGCTGCTTGACAACTGGACTGAAGCGCCTCATCGAGCATCTTTCAGGAATCAGCTTTGGATTTCGCTGCTGCCTTTGGGTTTCTTGAAACAAAATGCGAGTTAAAAACTCTTTACTTCCAAGACTTTTCATGAATGCAGACCTCCTTTAGCTTCCAGTTGTACTTCTAGTTTACACCAAGTTGTTTTCTGACCTCCAGCAGCAGGCAGCAGGCCAACGAGTTTTAATTAGCACCAGTTGGTGGCAGCCTCGAGTATGACGCTGTTAAAGAGTTTCTACTGGATTTTCAGATCAACGATCATAACAGGGATCTGTTCAAACTATCGTGCGATGGTGTTCGCAAGTTTCGTTCTTGTATCCGAAGAAGACAAAGTTTCGCATGTGATTCTAGCTGATTCTTGATTATGGCTGTCTTAATGCGAATATCAATTACACAGCCTCATAAGTCAGATGATACGATTATCAAACCGTGCATCGACTTCCCTGCACAAGCTTCCGTGTACCGGGTATGCTGATGCACTCTTCAAGGCTCGAAAAAAGTGTTCATTACAGACAGCATTCATAAAACCGCAATAACTTAATGCCGTTATTAATGAGGTCGCTTGGGCTGTTCATTCCAATCACGCCATTCCACTTTTCAGTGTCTGTTCAAATCATTCGCATTAAAATCGTTCACTAGAATGAGGGACACCCTATTCGATACTTCTAACGGAACACACTCCACTTTCTCAAGGTAGAACTCACATTCTTCCTCCCAGCTGGGCGCATAGATCTGCAACAAGGTCAACGCGCTTTCGCCTGTTGTAGCTACTATCAGAAGACTACCATTCTACTACTAACAGGCTTTCAGTCGGTGATTCTGTCAGCTCGGTTGGATTCCACCAGAACACCGAAAACGGCCTGTCATGTCGACACGTGAATAGAACAGCTTCCACCTGCAGAAGTTTAGGATTTCAGAGCCATGGCGCTTCATTGACCAAAGTCCAACTACGTCGAGTTGATACCTTGTGGTCTCAACAACTAGTTCCTGGTCTTTCGCTTTGCGTGAGAATATATTCCAATTTTTGATTGTAAACTCCCACTAGCAATGTCGTTTCCGTGGAACCTTTTGGACGAGCTACAACGGCATCGCACGGTCTGCCTGCTCCAGTCAAAACGGGTATCGATTGCGTTGCTGGTTGATATCTTCGTCGTCGTTTCGTCGATCTGCGGCAGATGGTCGGTGCCATTACGTCCCAGGCTGCCAGAAGGTGGTGGGCGAGACCTGATAGGCGACCTTTCGTTTCCTGGCTCAGTTCCGCAACCGTCTGTGCGGCCATTGGTAAGCCGGCTGAATACAATGAAAGAGAGGTGGCTATGTTTTACCGAGACTTTGGGAAACCCTCCTTCTCTCCGCCGAGCTGTGTCCAGGATCAAAGTTCATCAGTCAAGACCCATGAATCATGATCGCGGTGAGCATCGCGATAAAGATTGACTTTAACACATCTTGCTTAGTCTTCAGAGTCAGCTTTGTTTTAGTCACAACGGTTAGGGCTAGTTCATGCTGAATACCGATAGCCGTTCCATTTGCTTGGTCAATTTCTTCCGCCATTTTTCCACCACCAGTAAACACGATCCAGAAGTACGTGAACCTCTGGAGGTGTTCAACTGCACCTTCGTTTATCTGCATAGCGTAACAGTCAACACAAGAATACACTAGAATTTTCATTTTAGGCAACACGGATGGTCGCAATGTCGAACTTTTCAAAGAAACGCTGGAGATCAGCTTCAGAAGATGCAATAAAACAGCGTCGTCTCGTCTCCACATCTGCCATGATACAGTTGGCAACATGGCTGTCTGACTGTCCATGTAGAACACAAACAGTAGATGAGACAGAACGCCCACTTGACAAAGACCAGTGCCAACAATGAAATGTTTTCATATGAAGCCATTTACTCTGTCGTAGCACATGCTATCAGCATTTAATGGACCGCATGGCTCAGAGCAACTGGTCATCGATCCATATGTTTCCAGGTAACTCTGTGGATTGTTGTGCAGAATCCGAATATAGGCTTTCTTCAGTTCTACAAGGCACATGTAAACCAGACGCAACTACCACTACAATTTCGCAACAATCTGGCGTGAGGCAAAGATCCGATTCCGCAACGTTTATGACCAACGTAAAGCCAAACAACTCTTCTTGAATATCACAGTAATTCAGCGGTATCGACTTTTAAACATCTTGAAGTAAGTTTCCCGGCAAACTCAATAAAGATATGCCCCAATAATTTGAGCAATCCCTACTGTCATACACAGACGTAATACAGTGCACTGTTACGGCCCCCACAGCTATAGCAGCTTTACAGACATACGTCAACCACGACATGATTTTTTCGCAGGCGCTTTAAGCATTTTCGGACGGATTTCATCGGATCAAACAGCTTTGCCATTTTTAAAGCTTTTTACAGCTACCGTGGATCCATCTATTGAATGAATAATATCGTTTTTATGCTCCTCTTCAGATGAGTCTCAGGCGATTGTTTCAGGTTAAAGAGATCCTCACAGCACTCTCGCCATCGAAGAACTATGCCCACATCTTCGATAAGAATGCTCCAAAATTGCTTCAGGACTCTTAGATTACATTTTTTCCATACCGGAGGTGGCGGATGGTTTGGCAGAATATCTTGCTGACAAAACTCGAATCAAAGCAAAATCGACACTAACACATCCCCGGACTTTACCCAGCAACTAGTTTTCGCTTTAGTCACTGCTATCCCTGCCGCAATGAGCACTTCTCTGTACTGTATTAACGATGAAGGTTCTTTGCTTCGAAGCCATTTCATGAATGCACACATCTCAGAAACAACAAGTTGAACGACTCGTGTCCCATGGAACCTCCTTTTTAGATGTATAGGCGGTAGGCCATTCGGTTTTAAAGTAGAGCATTCGGCAGCAGCACCAGGTAAGCAACTTCTAAATACTCTGCAGTCTTTTAAACATTAGCGGTCATTACTGCGATATGTTTGATGATATCTATACAATATTTTTCAAAGTTTTGGCCTATATCCCCAAAAAAAGAAGTTCATTCTCTGAATGCTACTGCAGTCAAGTCAGAGAGTGGTAACCTATCGTTAGAACCAGACCCTGCCAGCAATTAAGTGGAGATCAGCAGGCATCTCTTAACTCGAACGTTTTTTACAGAGCAATGTATTTCAGAGGATACCATCATTAGTCTTAGATTTCTGTGCAGGAGCCTCGTAGTCCAAAGCATCCTGATGAACGCTTCAATGGTCGGGGTTCATAACTGACAGCAGGAAAGGGCAAACACTAGAACCGCACTTTCGAATCATGCCTCATCCATTTTCAATGACTCCAACGTTATGCGCATAAAAATAGCGCATCAGAATAATGGGTTCAGCACTCAGCACTTAGTACACAGCATTTTGTACTTCCTGAAGAAAAAATTCATATTCATTCTCCAAGGTAGGCGCAAACTCAGCTGTTACCGCTCTCAAGTCCGATTGACAAAGGAGCGGGGCTGAAGACACTGGCGAAGTCTCCGTAAAATTTAATCACCTACCCTTTATGGCACTGATGTCATCGAAAATTATACCGTAAGAAGACCTGGTAGCAGAAGCAGCCAGAGAATCAAATGGGAAACAATATCTCCGGTGAACATGAGAGTGAAATTTGCAAACAACATCGCACGATAATTTAAACAGATCACAGTGATGATCACTGATGATGAAAACCAAGTGGCAGCTCTTTAAGAGCGGAATACTCAAGGCTGTCGCCCAAAGCTGCGGATTTAAACGGGTTGGCCTGCAAACTGGAGGTCAAAAAAGAACTTCCTGTTGGACAAGAGTAATACGGATGGCAGTTAAAGAGAAGGCTACGTTCAAGAAATGGCCTAGAAACAGAGGCTTCTACTGGCATGCGATATGTCGAAGGACGCAAGGGGACAGCGAAAGTGGCGAAAGACAAACCTGATTTCTGGGAAAAGTTCGGTGAGGTGTTGGCGTCAAATTTCCACACGGCAAACAAAGTATTCTCACAGACCATCCGCCGGCTCCGAGGTGAAATGAAGAGCAGTCTCAGAGTCTTGAAGGACAGATCTGGACAGCCTTTTACCAAGGAGGATGATATTCTTCGCCGATCGAGGGAGCACTCTGAGGAACTCCGTAACCCCGAGCAACCGAAGGAACTTCACTCTGTTGAGCAGCAGG